TACTCCAGTCATAGGTGGTTATACTTATAATATGTATGTATTTAAAGTTATATATGTGTAGTGTATCAACTATCTGGTATCCATAACACAAGCCTCGTAGCTTACCATGGAACTAGATGGTGCTGTGTGATAATGTCCCAATATATAAAAAAAACATATTAAACTACATCAAAATCGGTTTAGTAGTTTTGCATTATTGCTCAACAATCATGCAATCTTACATTTCAGTCTTAGTCAAGATTGAAGGATTTTCTTTCAAAGTTTAGAAAATTAAGAAACATGAATTTCCTAGTCAAATATAGAATATATTGTTATTTGGAAAAATTTCATTAATTTAAAGAGCAAAAATTTAGAAAAAAATTTGTTATTAGTGAGTAGGCTGTCTGTAACAACTATACCTTCGAGATATGTAATACCTCAGTCTCTCCCGTGACCATGATTGCTGTAAAGCATTCGAAACGTCGGGAACCAAAAATCAAAAGAAATCCTCGAAATAATCCGAAAAGATAGTTTTATTTAAAAAGCAAAGGTTGATTTTTTTTACAGATATTACTCAAAATTGCAAGAAAAGGTATTGATGCAGATAATATTGTAAAAAATGCATCGCTCATACACAGTATGGATTTTATAGAACTATTGAAGTAAGTTTTGATATTTTTTTAATTTTCTCTTGTGGTGTACACAATGTATTTACACTGCTAATTTTTTTTTAATTTACTTTAGGCAAACAAAATACACACACAATCTATACATATGATAAAATTGTAACTAAGCCGAATCTGTACATTAAATATTTTTTGGAAAATCTTATTGCAATAGACATTATTATCGATACAGATTCCGAATCTATAGTTTTTACAATTTTTGTCTGTCTGTCTGTTACCGCATCACAGAAAAACCACTGGAGGGATTTTGATGAAATTTAGTAAGGCTATAGCTGGTTATCCGGGTCAACACATAGGATACTTTATTTAATTAATATTTCATTTCTGAGAAAAAATACGAGTACAAAAACTGCAATGTAAGAGTATACTAATATGTAAAACCTAAGAATTTGGTTTTTGGTCATCTGAACGCGGGCGGAGCCGCAAGCAATGCTAGTTTACAATAAAAATTACACATTGCCAATAAGGTTTTCACAAAAACACATAATTAGAGTAGAAAAACATTAAACTAAATTAATCTTTACAACTGGTCATATATTATTTAATTTTAATTTTATTTTTATTAGGAAAACAAACATAAATCTCTATACAATAGTATATAAATAAAAACATAGACCAATAAAGTTTCCACTGATACGTAAATCATATCGAACGGTGAAATTAACAATCTATACATCCATATAGATAAATAAAATTGTAGTGTCTGTGTGTAATGTCAAAATAACAGCTTTTTACCGAATGCATATGAAATTATATACAGTACTTATGCGAAAAACACAATATTTTAAATTTTTGTCTGTCTGTCTGTCTGTTTGTTCCCGATAACCTGTGAATCGGCTGGACTGATTTCGACGGGACTTTCACCGGCAGATAGCTGAGGTTATAGGGCGTAACATAGGCTACTTTTATTTTAGAAAAAGAATTAGGGTTCCGCTCAAAAAGAAATAAAACGTACCTAGTTACAAAAATAAGAACATATTAAACTTAACAAAAACAAAAAAAAAATACAATAATTAACTAAAACTGTTGACAAAAAATCAAAATCAGTTATTTTTTTACTTTTTCAGTACAGTAACTCGTCTATCATATTCAATTCTCAAAAAACTCTTCGAAGACCTGGTCTTAGGTACGAGCTATGAACTGGAAACAGCTAGAAATATATTTTTGGAAGTATTACCTCATGGCAGAAGCGACGCGTGCGCAAGATTCATAAAATACTTGGTTGTAGAGGAGAAGGTACGAAAATCTAATATATTTAAACGAGCAATTCTTGTAAATGTATAAACTCTTGTAAATTCTTGTATATGTATAAATATATAATCTGAATCTCGGAAATAGCTTCAACGATTTTCATGAAATTAAGTACATACGGGGTTTCGGGGGCGAAAAATCGATCTAGATTAAACTTATGTTTGGGAAAACGCGTGTTTTCCAATTTTCATGCGGTTTTCTTTCGCATTATTCCACGAAAGAAAATATGGTCGCTAATTACGTACGCTCGGGCATAAGAATCATGGTCAAGCGGCCAAAGCTCAAGAGTGACAATCATAGGTCCGGGTTCAAATCCCGGTCGAATATAAAGTTTTAACTTTTGTTTTTTTTTTAATATTTATTCAAGTTTTTAGTTTTTTTTTAAAATGTACCTTAGGCCAAAAACTCCGAACGAAGCTCGGTAGCCCAGGTTCTTTAAATTAATACAAAGAAAGGTGTTTCTGAAAATTCTTAAATAAAAAATAATATATTATTGATATTTAAAACACATGATTGTATCAAGTAATAAATATTATATGCCATTATTAATTTTTTAATCTTTCTGATATAGTTAAGGTTTAAAATGACTTATTTTGACGATACGGTTGTCTCAGTTGCTGAACAGCGGTCGCGGGTTCGAATCCCGCTGGGGGCATTCATTTGTGTAATGAGCACTAATGATTGTACTTCAATCATGGGTTTTTATATTTATAATATGTATGTAATTAAGAAGTTATATAATATGTGTAGTGGTATCCATAACACAAGCCTCATAGCCATGGAACTAGATGGTGCTGTGTTTTAAATGTCCCAATGATGATGATGAGAAAATGACAAAATGTCCCAATATATGCATTATTTATCGTAAAGTTTTTTTTAATTTTTATGTCCTAGGAGAAAATAGAAGATGCTACAGTAGTCTCTATCATTCGGAAACTCCCATTCAACATAGCTGATCTCAGTCAGAGCTTACTTGAGGAATTGGAGACGTTCACCAAGTTAGGCCTGGACTTTCCTGCAGAGATCCGGCACGCGGGTATCCTGTCTTTTGCTACTTTGATCTCCAAAACCGCTGATGTCATGAAGGTCAAACAGGACTACTTTGACAACATTGTTGTGAAGTACTTCAGGATGTATAGCGGTAAGTCTTTTAGCGTTTATTTTAATTATTTGATAAAAACTTTTTAAAAGATATAAAACCTCGTTTTATCGCCTTTAATGGTGATTAGCTACACACCCTCGCTTCGCTCGGGTTCGTTCCTAGCTTGCTTCCCCATATATACTTTCACCCCCATTTTCATCCTCTTAAGGGATAATTTCCGGGATAAAAACTGACCCAAGTCCTTTCCAGTGTCTCAAACTATCTTCTTACCAAATTTCCTCTAAATCGGTTTAATGGATCCAGAGATTATCCCCTACAACGTCACAAACTCACAATCACACAAACTCACAAACTTTACTTCTTTATAATATTAGTATAGATAAGAGAGCTGGCTTGTTTTTCACCCAAAGAATCAACAATTGTTATTCATCGAGGGAATGCGGCTAACATTCTTGCCACAATTTACCAATCAGTAAATCATGCTCAATCTCTATATTAATTCTTGACTATACTGGTCTTGTTCATAACCCTATATGATTAACTAAGTAGGTCAAATGCACAGGAAATAGTAATTTGTAATAGTAATTGGTCCGTCTGTCATAATTTTCTTCGGAGACTGTTAGAGGTGTACTAGCATTTCCTGCGGCTCCGCCCGCGTTCAGATGATCAAATCCAAATTCTTAGGTTTTACAGATTAGTATTCTCTTACATTGCAGTTTTTACATTTTTTCTCAGAAATGAGATATTTTCCCGCTGTAAAAAGTATCCTATATGTTGACCCGGATAACCAGCTATCACCATACCAGATCTCATCAAAATCCGTCCAGTAGAGTTTCTGTGATGCGGTTACAGACAGACAGACAAAAAATCTAAAAATTATAGATTCGACCTGTGTATCGATAATACTCGTAATGTTTATTAATTATTTCAATAAGATTTTCCAAAAAATATTTCATGTATAGATTCGGCTTAGTTACAATTTTATTATATGTATAGATGAAAGATTGATAAATAGATCTCTCATGTCAACTGCTAGACAATTCTGCAGTAAAATTTCAATATTAAAACTTAGAGGTGGTACTTCATACATGCAACTGAGGGGTGAAAAGGATAGAAAGAATTGAGATTAACATTTTTAAGCTACTTTTTGGTTGAAGCGTTTCTTTCTCTATCTCTATCGCTCTTGCTCGTTCTCTTTCTTATTCTAATTCTTCACACATTTTTTGCAGATTGTCCACAATATCAAGATCGTATGGTATGGCTCCAAGGTTTATGTAGTATGGGTTATACGGCTGATTCATACATACGTACTATATATGCTGATAAGTCCAGGAATTACCATGAAAGGCTCTGGTCATCATTGGCTTGTGGGTTGGAGTCAAGAGGATATTCAGTAAGTCGATGTATAGCTTAAATATCTGCTCGTTAAATAATTTTAACTGATGAAAACTGTATGTTTTTGAATATACTTCGCAGTATCATTTTGATTTTTTGTGCGGTAGAACAAAAAATAACAAAAATATGCTTAAAGTCAAATATTCAAAGTGATGAGACGATTGGGATGTTATAAATTCCATACTAATATTTGTTAATTTTTTTACCTATCAGTTTGTGTATTCACATAACGACTTTTTACTAAATAAGAAATATCTTGAATTAAAAATATAATAATTATTAAATAACTTCGTTATTAACTCAATTTTTATATTAGTACTCATCGATCAAAAATGTACTAGATACACAATCCCATGCAAAAGTTCTCTTAAAACTGTCACCAATTGTGTTTAGGTGAAAATTTATTTCTATTATACAATGTAAATTGAGCTTTAAATGCAGTGCTTAAAGTTCTTACACAAAAATATATATTAAAAGCGTGCTCAAATGGGCGCTCATTAGGTTAGGACATTTTTTGTCGCTGATTGTGTATCTAGTACTTTTTTGATCGATGTTAGTAATATATGTATAAATAAATAACTAAATATATGTTGGGACATTACCACACAGCTCCATCAAGTTCCATGGTAAGCTTCGAGGCCTGTGTTATGGATACCAGATAGTTGATACACTACACATATATAACTTTAAGTACATACATATTATAAATAGAAACACCCATGACTACAGTACGAACATTCGTGTTCATCACACAAATGAATGCCCCCAGCGGGACTTGAACCCGCGACCGCTGGCACGGCATGTAGGGTTACTACAAACTGAGCCAAACGTGTCGTCAAATGTATGTATATATTACAGGCTTTAGAGACAACTCTTCCAGTACTCCTTGATGAAGATGAGCATATTCAACTTCGTATCGCATCTTTGCACGCAATCTTATCTTCTGGTATAAGAGAAAGTGATTTTCTCTTCATCCACAACTTTATATCAACAAGTAATAGTAAAGAGTTGCAAAGGTTTTGGTACACAACTGTTAAGAATTTGGAAAGCAACAAATTTTTCAGCAGATACAGGACTGTGTAAGTAAATTTTTGAATTTGTATTCTCATCATAGGTTCTGTCATGGGTGGAGACAAGACGTCATTCTACAATCACTGAAGTATAAAAATGTATCAAATAACAATTTTTATAATTATCTTGATCTTTTATAAGATTTAAAAAAAATAGTCATTTGTTTTTACCACACAAGCAATGCAAAAACTCAATAATTTAGTTGGATATTTGGAATATATTAGGAAAAAATAGCCTATTTTTTTAGACGGCAACATTCTTTTTTTTAAATATGTTGGGACATTAACCCAGCACCATTTAGTTCCATAGTAAGCGACGAGGCCTGTGTTATGGATACCAGATAGTTGATACACTACACATATTATATAACTTTAAATACATACATATTATAAATTTAAACATCCATGACTGGAGTACAAACATTCGTGCTCATCACGTAAATGAATGCCCCCATCGGGATTCGAACCCGCGACCGCGGGCACAGCAAGTCACTACAAACTGAGCGAAACGTGACGTAAAAAATTCTAATATTATAATTAATTATTAAGCTTCTTCAGCCCCACATAAAAACTCAAAATTGCATCTTGAATTATGCAGCTGTAAGCTAAATTTGAATGTATCAAAACGGAAATTCATGTCGAACTTACTTTTAGAGCGGACTTTATACCTTTCGTTGCTAAGGACGTAAGAAATCCCGATACCACGTATTGGGCCACTAACAATTACATTGTATCTAATGGAGAATTGGGGCCGTGGGTACAAATATTGAGTGTAGGGGCAGAACCAGCTCCAAGCTTGATAGAGCTATCTATTGCTAGTGGTGGAAGACGACCTTATCAGGCTTCGGTGAGTACAGATCTGATAATAGATATAGATTTAATGAATGATTTCTTAAAACTAATATTATAATTTTTAATTGTTTGTTTTGTTCCTAAATTGTTGAACCAATTTTGATAAATTTTGGGATAGAGATAATATGGTATATGAGGAAGGATATTTTTTTAGATGAAATTTAAATGACATTACTAATCCAATGGATAGTCATACGTTCTTCAGTTGACTTTATAAAGGCTTAATACTTTTTGAAGCATTGAAGCATATTATAACAGCACCTTAAAGATACAGTGTAACTCCACAAGTTATATAATTGTTAAATTTTGCTTATAAAATCTATTATAAGTAATGAAATAGTTCTATTCGGGATAGAATTTAAAGGTAGTGTAAATATGGCTTCAATATAAACTCACGTGTTTTAACTGCCTTGGTGGTGTAATGGCTAGCAAGTACGGCTATAGATTCGGGGGCCCTCGGTTCGAATCCCGGGTCGGGTCAAGTTTAGTTATTGAATCTTTCTGTTTAGAAATTCTTACTTTTAGACCAGAGTTGTGAAGTTGGCAGTGGGCACGCAAAACCATCAGTTTTGCGCCTGATCCGTTTAGAATGTAAGAGTGAAACCAATAGGTACATATCTTCTGTGCAGAAGGCTTGTCTCAGTGAGTTAGCCGACATCGATCAGGCAAATCACGTATTCGATATAATATGATTTTTTAATTACAATTTTGAACTAAGAATGTTTTTAAAGTACCTAATATGTGGTTATCCCCCAAACCAAGCAAAATTATTATAATTTATTTGGAACAAAATTGAGTAGAATAAGTTCAAAGCTATATAAAAAGCTTCTAACAATGCAAGCAGACTGTGGAAATCTCAGATAATTAAATCATTTGCTATGAAATTAGTAGGTAGAAGTCATATTAACATGCAAAATTGCGATTTTTTAATCATACTTCATTTAATATATTTCTTATAGGTTTACATCATAGCTGAAGGAGTATCGTCTAATTTGTTTAAGAAAATGCATAAGCTTAATAGAAAAAATGTAAATGTTGAAAGACTCATTGAAGTTTTAGAAAAATTAAAAGTATCCAGTTTAAAATCCCCTGAAAAAGTGAGTATTTATTTATAGGCACTAACTAGCATTGCCCGCGGCTCCGCCCGCGTTCAGATGACCAAAAATCAAATTCTTAGGTTTTACATATTAGTATACTCTTACATTACAGTTTTTGTATTGTTTCTCAGAAATGAGACATTTTCCCGGGGTATAAAGTATCCTATATGTTGACCCGGATAACCAGCTATCACCATACCAAATTTCATCAAAATCATCATCTCATTCACCAAAATTCCTCCAGTGGTTTTTCTGTGATGCGGTAACAGACAGACAAAAATTCTATAAACTATAGATTCGGCCTCTGTATCGATAATAATGCCTATTTCAATAAAAAAAAACCCAAAAAAATATTAAATGTACAGATTCGGCTTAGTTACAATTTTATTATATGTATAGATGTCCAGTGATTGAAAGTCGACCAAAATTCTTAAATGAAAATTTAAGGAAACCGTATATGAATAGAATTTACCTGTCTATATAAAAAAAAACTGTATTCATTTTTTTTATTGATAACAACTAAAGCGCTTCAACGGATTCTAAACAGAAAAAAAAGAAAATCGGTTGACAAACAGAGAGAGAGAGAGAAAAAATACTGAACAGCTGTTTTGTCTTTGCCTATTTATATACTATGTGCTATTCCAGACTGTAATCTATCTCTGTGCCAAATTTCATCCAGATCCGTTCAGTCGTTCTGGCGTGTTTGAGTAACAAACATCTAAACATCCATCTAAGCTTTCCAAACTTTAACATTTTCCTTATATAGTAGTAAGAGGTAAGAATTATTTTATATTTAGATTTCTAAATAGATGTACATAAACAACTATTCTATATTATTGACGACACGTTTGGCTCAGTTTGTAGTGACCCTAATTGCTGTGCCAGCTGGTTGCGGGTTCGAGTCCCGCTGGGGGCATTCATTTGTGTGATGAGGTGTTTATATTTATAATATGTATGTATTTAAAGTTATATATGTGTAGTGTATCAACTATCTGGTATCCATAACACAAGCCTCGTAGCTTACCATGGAACTAGATGACGCTGTGTGTTAATGTACCAACATATTTATAATAATATATTTAATATTATTATTATTATTAATTTCAGGTACACATAGATATTGTGATCAAAATTCATGACAAATCGGTGTTCGCGAGTCATGTCAATCAATCAACATTTGACAGCTGGAACGGACGCGATGGTATGCTATTTACAGATGATAATGACGAATGGACGACTGAATTTTTCCATTCAAATATTGCTGTTTTATTTTGATACTAGCATTGCCCGCGGCTCTGCCCGCGTTCAGATGAACAAAAATCAAATTCTTAGGTTTTACATATTAGTATGTACACTCTTATATTACAGTAGTTTTTCTGTGATGCGGTAACAGACAGACAGACAGACAGACAAAAATTCTAAAAACCATAGATTCGGCCTCTGTGTCGATAATAATGTCTATTTCAATAAGATTTTCCAAAAAATATTTAATGTACAGATTTGAATCAGTTAGAATTTTATTATATGTGTAGATTACTACCACATTGATGGGACAAAGTGTTTTTTATACTTTCTACATAAATAAACTTTAATGTCTAGTGGTTAGCAAGTATGGGTTTAGATCTGGAAGTCCGGGGTTCGAGCCCTGGTTCGGGTTAATATTGGATTTTTCTATCACGAAATTCTTAGCAACGGCCCGTTGGTAAGACTATATGAGACTAAGAACGGACTATTATCGGCACAATAGTGTGGATTGGCCCTTAAGGGACCAATAATATTGTCTTTGATACGGGTATTATAATTTAGCTGCCCTAAAAGAAAGCGTTTGAATGCGCGACTAACATCACTGTTTGTTTCTTCGTTCGTTTGTTTGTTTGTTTGTTTGATTGATAGCACTTATTTCTGTAATACCAGTCCGATTTTACAACTTGCACTTCATTATGTGCATTTCATAATCTTATCCAAACAGATAAATAAAATTAAAGTGTCTGTTTGTAATGTCAAAATAACAGCTTTTTACTAAATGCATATGAAATTATTTACGGTACTTACGAGACAAACACAATTTGTAAAAGTTTTGCCTGTCTGTCTGTTCCGGCTAATCTCCCAAACGGTTGGACTGATTCGATGTTGATGGAACTTTCACTGGTAGATAGCTGATGTTATAAGGAGTAACTAAGGTTAATTATATTATGGAAAAAGAATTAGGGTTCCGCTCAAAAAAAAAAAACGTATCTAGCGACGTACCTGAGTGAAGCAGGAGTAAGTCGTTAGTTGTATTATATACATATAACCCGACAACACCGCCATCTACAGATTTTCTTTTATTTGTTTAGTATCTACTAGCGACTCATCCTCCTTTGTTTGTCCGTAGATACGTTTTAACGTTGTGGGTTGTATTAAATGTGTTATCCCGTGGGAATAAGATAATCTCCTACAATTAAAAGTAGCCTATGTTACTCTCCAGCCCTCCAACTATCTACACACAAAAAATCATGCCAATCCGTTACTCCGTTTCGACGTGAAAGAAGGACAAACAGATAAACACACATCTACATATATTAATACACTAGGGATTCAGCTAGCTTCCTAATACAAACGTTCATCCCCATTTCTACCCCCTTAAAGGATGATTTTAAAAGGTATAAAAAGTTTTTCGGGGTAAAAAGCTTCCAAGGGTCTCAAACTATCTTCTTACCAAATTCCATCTAAATCGGTTCAGTAGATCCAGAGATTACCCCCTACAACGTCACAAACTCAAATTAAGATTTAAGTGGGTGAAACTTAAAAAAAAAAGTTTCACCCACTTAATCATAGAGTATGCATATGGGAAGAAGCGACCATTCCCAACACAAGTATCATTTACTGGGAAGACTAGAACATAAAGTTGTAAAGATGATTATAAAATAAAAAACTATTTTTATTTTTTTATTTTATTATATATTTCTTAAAACTCCGTTGATCTGATTCAACGTACATGCAGAGGTAAAGTGGATAAAATTATTACTTTGCAAAATTACATAGCATGTGTTATTTAAGTATTATATATGACGTAGTACCAACATTCTCAACATCGTCATTAGTGGTTATGAATCTCGAGGGTGTTATCAGGGCTTAATGGGCACAAGATAAATTATTCAATTGATATACATAAACATTGATATACAAAAACTTAAGATACAAAATTATAATAAACTAGCGACTCAAGTGCTTGCCAATACAATCTTTCAACCCCATTTTCACCCTCTTAAGGGATGATTTCCGGGATAAAAATATCCTACATCCTTCCCAGGGTCTCAAACTATCTTCGTACCAAATTTCATCTAAATCGATTCAGTAGATCCAGAGATTAACACACAAACTCATAAACTCACACACTTTACCTCTTTATAATTATACTAGTATAGATAAATATGACACAAATAGCGTCTCAAAAATGTCCTCAAAACAAAGCCCAACTCGAAATTGAATTCAGCATTTTTAACCGACTTCCAAAAAGGAGGAGGTTATCAATTCGTCGGAATCTTTTTTTTTTCTTTTTTTTTTATGTATGTTCACCGATTACTCGAAGACGCCTAAACCGATTTGAAATTTTTTTTTGTTTCAAAGGGTATACTTCCCAGCTGGTCCCATATAAATTTTGTCGAAATCGGTCGAGCGGTTTTTAAAGAAATCAACAATAAATATATATAAATAAATATATTAAAAACTTTCTTCTTACAAATTACCTGCTTATTATGTCTATACTAAAAATGGAAAAATAAAAACTTTCAAAAAAATAATAAAAACCAACTTACAGGCACTAAAATGTAAAAAATAACTAAGCGGGGGTTTTCCTTTAGAATAGATACCTAATTAGATATTTTCGAAGTCAGCGCTAAGTGCGTGAAGCTTATTTTAAGCGTTTCTATTGTATTTTCCTTATTATTATTAGACCTTTTTAGACTATATAAACCTTTTAGGGGTTCAAGGTATACTCGGACGTTGTTTACAATACTTAACGTAACATCGTATTGTATTGTTAATCTCAGTTCCCGATCAGTTAACATGGACAGCTCTATAACGAAGATGAATTACGGGTACATATCTAGTGCCTGACGGTTTGGGGGTTATCGCTTTATCTTACTAATATTATAAATGTTAAAGTTTAGATGTTTGGATGGATGTTTGTTACTCCATCACGCCAGAACGACTGAATGGATCTGGATGAAATACGACACAGAGATAGATTGTAGTCTGGAATAGCACATAGGCTACTTTTTATCCCGGAAAAATGTATGTTTCCCGTGGGATAGGTTTGTTTTTGTTTTCCTAGAGGTGAATCCGAGCGAAGCAAGGGTGAGCCGCTTGTAAATAAATAAATATACAAGAATTAGTCGCTTAAAGGTATTGGATTATGGGAAGCAAAAAATTAAAAAGCTACTTTTATTGTATGTTGTTTTTTATTTGCGTTCTACATTTGCATTGACTCATTTCTGTATATTCAGATCTTTTCAGTAAAATTTTATCTTTAAGAGGTTGATACTAATAATCAGTTGACCGAGACTTGCATAAAGTTATTTATTTACAACTGTAGTTTTATGTTTAGACCAGTTTTTCCCTGCATTCCGTACTTAAGAATAATTATATCCTTTCAGCTTAGTCTTCCAGGCAATAAAAGTCTCCTTAAAATCGGTTTAGCGATTCCGGAGATTAGAGGGTACAAACAAACAGACATACAACATTTTGTAACGATTGTTTTGGATTGGGAGAGTTTCAATATTTGCAAAAAAAATGCCTCGGATTTTTGTTCATAACTTAAAAACGGTAAATGAAAGCAAAAATCAACAATAATATCCTTAAAGATAAGGAAATTTCCTAAAATAAATATTGACTCCCGAAACTCAAGCCCTATAATTAATAAATTTAATCCGCCGTTGAATATAGGGTTCGGCACGGCTGCTTAGGCTCGAGTGCGTCGCCACTAGAGAGAGTATAACCGAAATAAATTTCATTAAGAAGTTATAAACAAAAATCTGAGGCTTTTTTTCCAGTTTTTTGTTTATAACATTGGCAATTTTTATTTGTCGAAAATAAATAAAACCATCTTCCTCAGAATTTATTATATTAATATATTTCAATAATTTTATTCAGCATCTAAGGGGGGCCATCATCCATAATTTTCCCACTGAATTTCGCAGATATCGAACTTCTCGGGTTGACTACAGTATCTCATTGCGTATATACTAATAATCTTTATATATAGTGACAATTTTAAAATAACAGACATTTCTATTTCATTTACACTACTAATCTATACATATAACAAAATTTTAACTGAGTCGAATCTGTACATTATAAGAAAAATCTTATTGAAATAGTCATTATCATCGATACAAAGGCCGAAGTTGATAGAATTTTGTCTGTCTGTCTGTTTACCTGGAAATGCATCACGAGAAAACCGCTGGACAGATTTTGATGAAATTTAATATGATGATTGCTGGTTTTTCGGTTCAACATATAGGATATTTTTTACTGCGAAAAATATCTTAGTATCTCTGAGAAATCTATACTAAACATTAAAACGTAATTAGGGACGAACTCAAGCAGAGCGAGGGTGTGTCACTTGTGCATAATATATTGAATGTAAAAATGTTACAGTTAGTATATTTGTGTAATGTATGTTTGTTACTCTTTCACGCTGAAACGTATTTAGAACGGATTTGAATTTTTAGCACAGCAATGTACTATATACTGGAGTAACATATAAATAAATAAATATTAACACACAGCACCATCTAGTTTCATAGTAAGCTACGAGGCTTGTGTTATGGATACCAGATAGTTGATACACTACACATATATAACTTTAAATACATTCATATTATTAATATAAACACCCATGACTGAAGTACAAATATTCGTGCCTATCACATAAATGATTGCCCAGCGGGAGTCAAACCCGCGACCGCTGGCACAGCAAGTAGGGTCACTACAAACTGAGCCAAACGTATCGTCATATAAGATACTATTTGAAAAACTTTCAGTGACGAAGTCTATCATGGAGTTTCTTCGTTTTGGGAGTCACATCAACCAGCAGATGGCGTATTATCCAGTGCAGATGGATGTGCACTTGCCCACTGAATTGGGTATGTAAATAAGATAATACTTTAAAAATTGGGAAATGCATTTCGCATACCACCTTCATACATACATACGGGTTGTTTTGTGGGACTCACCGACTAGTAAAATCAGTAGTCTCCACTAATATACAACGAACATCCTCTGTCTTAATTGGACATCACTTATGCATTCAACCTTAACTCCCCGATCGTTGTCTGCCAAAGCAGACCACAACGACCATGGGGTTGCTCCAAGGTCCACTCTGTTCAAAGAAGTACCAGAAGCAACTTGCATGGTACACTGCCCACCGAAGTGGACCGTCTTCCAGCACGTTTCTTGGCTTCGCACCCTTAGACCTTTTTTTTTTTTTTTATGTCGGGAAATGCATTTACGCATACCACCTGATCCCCCAGGTGGTGATGTGGGGCTCACCGGCTAGAAGAGCCGGTACTACCCACTAAAACCCGACATTCCCCTCCCCTCCGCCTTAATGGGACGCCGCAGGATCGCTTGCGCATAACTACTACGGCGCCCCGGCGGCAGGTCTGCCTAAAAAGGCAGACCACCAAACCAATGGGGCTGCTCCACAGTCAACTCTGCTACGCCAGAGAGGTACCCGGAGCAGCCCCATTAAACCTGCCCACCGCCCACCGAAGTGGGCCACCTCCAATCGGCTGCAGAGGACAGGGAGAGCGGCAACGAAACACCGACACTCCTCTACCCCTGCAGCCCCACCGCGTCCGCCATCAAACGGTGGCGGCCCCGTCTAGGCCGCGGAAGGTAGGGAGAACGGCGCACCGAAATATCGGCACTCCTCTCCCGCCGCGGCCTACTCCTCCGCCGGATGCGGGCCTGCGACCACAGTCCCGCAACCGGCACCCATCATCCGGTTGTGGGACCAAGCGGTCTCACCACCGGTGGCCGCAACGTCTTCGGCTCGAGTCCTAGACGAGCGGCCCCACCCAAGCCATTTGGTCCGCGCCGGATTTCTCCGGTACCACCCGCCGCCCTAAGCGGGTGGCATTCCCCTATCCGCCACCTGGGAACGCGCCCGGTAGGAGTTGGCTTCTCCCCCGGGTTCGCACCCTTAGACCTAAAACAACTCAACTAAATAAAAAAAAAAATGTTTTGTAATACCGCTGTGTTTTATGTAATTTTTTCGATGATAGATTTTTTGATAGATAGTCCTATACTTTTGTAAATGTTACGCGCTGTATTTAATGATATTTTTTCAATGAAGAATACTCCATTTTCAAGGAAAATTTCTAAGCTGGGCGGAATAAAAAGTTTATAAGTTATTTAAAGAAAAATACAAATATACTTAATTATATACAAAATATACAAAACACATGTATATAATGTATTACTGTACAAGTCATGTCCGCGTGGTATATATATATAGTGGCAAGAATGCTAGCCGCATTCTCCCGTTGAATGGCAATGCCGATTCTTTGGGCGAAAAGTACGCTCAGCTCTCCTGTCACCAGTAGAAATGATAAGACGAGATTTAATTGGATATTTAATTAAAAACCAATTATTATAATATACGTAGATTATTCAGATTGCAAGATACACTAATATTTTTATCAAAATTATTGTCTTTCAAAGGTACACCAATTCGTCTTCAATCGACAATAGTAACATTTACATCGGTCAGAGGCAATCTGACCGCTCCACCAGATATAATGCATGCATTGGATTGGGAAAATGACTTGCATATACGGTAAGTTGCTAAATAAGTAAACGAAAGAGAAAAGAGAAAGAGATAGAGGAAAAGATAGAAAGAATGAGAGAGAGAGAGAGAGAGTAAATTTCTCTATGTTTTCTGAATAAACTTTTAGTGTTTTGATACTACGTGAAATATCAAAATGGATTTTTAGTCAGTTTGTGTTTAATTAAAACTATCTTTTTGGGTGTTTTCGCGGATTTATTTTGATTTTGGGTTACCGACGTTTCGAATGGTTTACAGCAATGACGGTCACGAGAGAGACTAATAAGGCTTTTGACGTCTTAAAGGTCATAATATACTTGCTACAGACCTACAACATTATAAAAGATATGGCACCAAAGCATTTTACTATATTTGTTAAAAACTAAAAGATTTCAAACATATTTATAATTTCAATTGTGTTTTCTTTGTGACATTGGCGAAAGTAATGTGTTCTCATCTGGCAAGTTTTGAAGCCATTAAGAAAATTGAAATGAATAATTTCAATGAGTTTTCTAACTGAATATTAATTAGTTTGCAGACTTTATTTTTAACCCCCGACGCAAAAAGAGGGGTGTTTAAGTTTGACGTCGATGTCTGACTGTGTGTGTGTGTGTCTGTGGCATCGTAGCTCTCAAACGGATTGACCGATTTTGATGCGGTATTTCTCATTTGAAAGCCAGTTTCCTTGTGGTGGTTCTTAACTTTTTTTGATTCATCCATTATGCAATCCATTTGGTGGATCCAGCAGTGTAAGAGTATCAGCTCTTTTCCAAAATAATGTAAAGCATTTTGGCGTATGATGACTCGATTAAGCGCTTCACGCGTGCCAGTGTAATCGTTAAATGACAATTAATTTGCGTAGGCGTTTTTTTTTTATTTTTAATTTATTAATCTATTTTTAAATAAAACTATCTTTTCGGTTTTTTTCGCGAATTTCTTTACCCACAATTGGGTAGGCTGTCTGTAACAACTATATAATACCTTAGAGACATCTAACACCTCAGTCTCTCCCATGACCATGATTGCGGTAAAGCATTCGAAACGTCGGGAACAAAAAATCTAAATAAATTCGCGAAAAGATAGTTTTATTTAAAATGTCAAGTATTCGCGTAAATCTAAGAAAGTATTATTAATCTATTGTTTCAGTTACCAAGGCACGTTAGTCATGTCTCTATCAACAGCTGCACCTCTACTGCAGTCCCAGCACACTGTTCGCCTACAACGCTCCCTTGTGGCACACCTGCCAATAAAATTTAATGTCACGATGGAACCTAATGTTAAATCTGTGGCGTAAGTGTAAAATAATACTAAATTATTTATATAAGGATGTTAAATACTTTATATTGATTTAAAATTCCAGTGTGCGTGTTTTTGTAAGTCTTCTCCTGCTCCGACTTGTCCGATTTTGATGTAATTATTCTGTTTACTTGTTATTCTTTTCTGTGCACTCATGGTTTTCAACCACCGACAAACCTTTCAATATTCTTTGTTTAGAATTCATTGACGACACGTTTGGCTCAGTTTGTAGTTACCCTACTTGCTGCGCCAGCGGTCGCGGTTTCGAGTCCCGCTGGGGACCTTCATTTGTGTCATGAGCATGAATGTTTGTACTCCATGGGTGATTATATTTATAATATGTATGTATTTAAAGTTATATATGTGTAGTGTATCAACAATTTGGTATCCATAACACAAGCCTCGTAACTTACCATGGAACTACATGGTGCTGTGTGTTAATGTTACAACATATTTAATATTTATTTATTTATTATTACTATTCAAATATTAAACACGCTATTTTTTGTACTTGATAGCGTTTAAAATTCAAATATAAATCTACTTATTTTCAAATTTTCCTAAACAATTCCAGCTGCTATGCTCTTAGGGCTTTATTTTCTCGGGATAAGAAATCAGTCTCGGGGTCATGTGCCAAGACAATTGTTGTTTTCTTTTGTAAATTGCGAGCGGGATGACGTAACAGTCCACAACGCTGGCCAAATGATGTCTATCATAAACTACCAAGGTTGTCTAACATGTTCTCACCATAGCTAGTAGTAATTGTATTGAAGTAGCATAAAAATCTCAGAGACTATCTACATATATATTTTAATATATAGTACATCCATACTAATATTATAAATTTGAAAATGTGTTTGTTTGTTCGTCCTTCTTTCACGTCGAAACGGAGTGATGGACTGTCATGAATTTTTGTGTGGAGATATTTAGAGGGCTGGAGTGTAACATAGGCTACTTTTTACCGCGAAGATTATCTCATTCCCACGGGAAAACACATCATTATACAAGCCAAAAAAATATTTTTGATCAGAATTACTTGAAACTAATGATATTAATGCTCTTCAATATAATTAAATAAATATGTGTTTTAGCATTTTTTTAAAATTCATCTCAAAAGATGGTAAAATAGAGGATGAAAGTTTGTATGAAACCTACGTATCTAGAGTGTTTTTTGTAGTTTTAGCGCGAGCGAAGCCGTGGGTTCGGCTAGTATACATAAATATAAGCATATTTTTCTTTCCAGATTAACCTGGCTAAACCCGTTCGCTCAACACGCTGGCTTAGCGATACACTCTCGCGTGCAAATTGAAACGTATTCGCGTGAACGCACCGATGTTTATACTGTAGCGACAGGAGCAGCTGATGTGAGTTGTTATTATTATATTACTTCATCTCATCATTTAGCCATTTTTAACCCCTCCACGACCGCAGACACGTCGGCGCGGCGTTACAGTTAACAATAGATTTCTTAGAAATTTAATTAATTCCTTAGAAATTTGCCTGGAAGTGTTAAAGTACCATACTGGGTATAACCCCCTAACATCAATGCAAGGGGGGTCAGGCCATATTCCACCTTCTGAGGTGGAGATTCTTGAATTTCTTTATTGTTAATTCATTAATAAACAATGAAATTTAATTCATAATATTTGGCGCAGATATCGCATTACAAATACAAATATATATATACAAATATATAGTATCGTAAATCATAGATCTACTTTTTAGTATAATGGCATTGCCCACGGCTCCGCCCGCGTTCAGATAACCAAAAGCCAAATTCTTAGATTTTACAGATTAGTATACTCTTACATTGCAGTTTTTGCATTTTTTCTAAGAAATGACATATTTTGTTGCGGTAAAAACTATTCTATATGTTGACCCGGATAACCAGCTATCACCATACTAAATTTCATCAAAATCCCTCTATTGGTTTTTCTGTGATGCGGTAACACACAGACAGAAACACAGACAAAAATTCTAAAAACTATAGATTCGGCCTATGTATCAATAATAATGTTAACTGCCTCGGTGGTGTAGTGGCTAGCATGTACGGCAGCACACCCGGAGGTCCTGGGTTCGAGTCCCGGGTCGGGCCAAGTTTAGTTATTGAGTCTTCCTGTATAGTAAGTCTCAGTAAGAGCCCGGAGTTGGGAAGTTGGCGGTGTTTCACCCCGTGCCTCGGAGAGCACGTAAAGCCGTCGGTCCTGCGCCTTAACTCTCACCGGTCGTGTCGAGTGGTCGTCCCACCGGAGTATGAGAGTGATAGGAATAGAGAGTGCACTTGTGTCTGCGCGTCCACTTAAGCACTATAATATCTCCTGCGCAGTTGGCTAATCTCATTGAGATTGGTCGCCATGGCCGGAATCGGCTAGGAGAACATCATCATCAATAATAATGTTTATTTCAATAAGATTTTCCAAAAAATATTTAATGTATAGATTCGGCTTAGTTACAATTTTATTATATGTATAGATTAGATGATGAGACAACTTTGATAATATTGGTGAATATATTGAATGTCCAGACTAAGGAGTAATATAGACAGTGTCATAGAACTAAACACGAAGCCAAACAATGTTTAAAAATCTATATTAATATTATAAAGAGGAAAGCTTTTTTGTTTGCTTGTACCAAAATACCTCAGAAACTATTAAGGCAATTTACAAAACAAAACAAAACAAGAAAACAAAATCAGGAATGGGCACAAAAAATGTTCTATTTATAAATCTCTTTATATTTTTTACAATAGGTGGACGACAATGGCATCTTCTTCGACTGTGACCGAAAGACGTCAGGGGCTGAAGTCATAGAAAAGTATATTATGTCTAAAGTCGTCAGCTACGAGTAAGTTTCTTATACTTAGTTGATTCCCCATATAAAATTTCATTCCCATTTTCACCTCCTTAAGAGAAGATTTCCGGGATAAAAACTATTCTATGTCCTTCCCAGGGTTTTAAACTATCTTCTTACCAAATTTCATTTAAATCGGTTTAGTAGTTCCAGAGGTTTACTTCCTACGAACATACTAACAAACTTTACCTCTTTGTAATATTAGTATGATAACATCAGATTTTGTATGTTTGGCCTTTATATTATAACTACTAAATGTGACCTTATATGGACAGTACTGGAAGCCAGATTAATCTTAAGATCAATTGATTAATATCTCTACGTTTATGTATAATCCGAAAAGATAGTTTTATTTAGTTTATGTATTTGGTATAATAATAAATAAATAAGTTTTGAAATATAAATACATATAATATATAGACGACACGTTTCGTTCGTTCGTCGCGGGTTCGAGTCCCGCTGCGGGATTTGTGTGATAAGCACGAATGTTTGTACTCCAGTCATGGGTTTTTATATTTATATTATATATGTATTTAAAGTTATATATATGTAGTGTATCAACTATCTGGTATCCATAACACAAGCCTCGTAGCTTACCATGGAACTAGATGGTACAGAGTGTTAATGTTAACGTATTTATCTGTTTGTTCATTTCAGTGTTCTACCTACACAGTCAATTTTAAATTCACTCCATCGTTTCACGTCTTCCCCTGGTTGTGGCGTCATTATACCCCCATCAAGACCCCAACAAATTGAAGGGGGAGACGAAGTGATTCGATTGAGTGTAAGTTTAGGAGATATCGTGGCTATTGAAACAGTTGATAGAGTTGATATTAATTTTGACTTCTCTCTAAGTTATTATGGGTAAGTGATCTTTATATCTGTTATTTTTATTCTTATGATTATCATTGCGTACGTGATATCCTCCTGAATCATTTCGGTCACGATGGCCAATCTCACTGATACCAGCTAGCTGAGCAGGAGATATGGCACAAGTGTACGCGCAGACCCAAGTGCATTCTTTATTCTGTTTTCATTCTTAAAGTCCGATTGATCTACAGTCATCAACGGATTTTCTTTAATGATTAATAACAAGCTAAAACTTTGTGAGTAGCTTCATTTTGGTGATACGCCCAACTATTCTTTCTACGAGAAACTTGCCTTTTTTCTTTTTTTTTATGTTAGGAAATGTATTACGCATACCACTCGATTAGAAAAGCCAGTACTACCCACTAAAAACCAACAAAACGTCCCCCGTCTTAATGGGGCGTCGCAGGATTATTATAAGTAGACCACAACAACCATGGGGTTACGGTCCACTCTGCTATCAGAGAAGTACCAGGAGCAACCCGCATGGTACACCGTACACCGAAGTGGGCCACCTTCCAGTCCATTTCTTGGCTTCGCGCCCGGCTGGGCTGCCGGACGCTTATGAGCTCCCCCACCATGACAAAGTGGACACACGTTGGGGGGGATGAGAAACTAACCCAAACTAAGCTTTTTTTTTAAATAATAAGAAGTAAGATCAAGTATTTCATATTGACTAAATAAAACTATTTTATTCATATTGTTTTGCGGTTTTATTTACGTTTTTGATTCTCAAAGTTTCAAAAGTTTTAATTCAATATTAATAAAACATTGTATTCAGCCCTTTTTAACGTCCCACTACAGGGCACGGGCCTCCCTTCAATACGACGGGGATCATGCCATAGTCCACCACGCTGGCCGAGTGCGGGTTGGCGGAATTCACATGTCTTTTGAAAACTTACTAGCTTCTTTCAAACATGCAGGTTTCCTCACGATGTTTTCCTTCACTGTTAAGACAAGTGGTAATCATGTTGGAAATGATTCGCACATGAAAATATCAGAGGTGCGAGACCTGGGATTTGAACTCGCTTCACTCGGTTTCCCAAGCGAGCGCGTCACCACTGGGCTACCACTGCCTTAATAAAACATTGACAACCAAAAATTAATATAAAAACCGCGAAATAATAAAAAAAATAATTTTATTTAAAATGTCAATTTATAAATTTCAATTTTAATTTCAGTATAGGCGATAAAAATCATGACACGTATTTGAATGTGGACTCAAATAGCAAAATTAAGTGCGCCGGCAGAAATGTCTCTGTTGAATGGTTTTTGTACGTGAAACAACCGAATGCTTTTGATGATAACAAAAAGTATTGGAAGGTGAGCTTTAATTTTTAAGTTTTTAATTTTTTTTTTTATAAGAACACCAGCAACATAACACTTAAAATAACTTAAATTTTATTCTAAGTTACGCGTTTTATTATATTAGTCACTTAGCAAACAAATTAGACTATTACAAAAACAAAAACTAAAATAACCTAGGGACAAACCCGTGCGAAGCGAGGTTGAGTCTCTAGTGTATGATATAATGACAATTATTAATGGAAATTTTACAATAATTCATTTTATGGACAGACATACAGGTCTACTCTAACGTTTTGTATGGTAATTGAAATAAAAACCAAAAGTGCGCTTTGATAAATTGTAAGATATTTATTTATTTTTACCTTAACTTACCTTTACTAATTGTTTCGGACGACCAGAACCAGGGTATGTCTAGTACCCGGAGGTCGACCTGGGACAATCTCCCAGACGTTCTTGGCGTACACGGCAGTATGTCCGTTCGCTGGTAATGTACGCCACCACGCACCCCTGAATGCGTAGCTTGGGTCCCGATCCACTAGGGTTTCTTCGTTGACAGGAGACTATACTTAGAGGCGATGAAATAAAACCACAATTTTTTCCTTTTTTCTCTCTTGGTTTCGGTTCTTCCTTTTCCTTTTAGTTGTTGCCTCTTCGGTGGCTGTCTTGCGACTGACTCGAATCGAGAAATGGCTCGCCTTTTATTTGGCCCGTTAATACCTTACAGAGAGCCGCGTACTTTGAGCTCATTTTTCGAATAAAATTTCCCTAAACCGAAACCTTGAGAGTCCTTTTATTTTATGTTTTCAGTAAAACACCTTACACATATTTATTTATTTACATGCCTTACATACTATTATACAATATTAAAACATAATATTCAATATATAATAATTAATTAAAAAAGTCTTAAAACAAAAATATCTAAATTTCTAGGTTGCTACATTTTTACTATACATTTTCCCTTATAACTTTTGAACGGATAGTCCTATCGACCTAATTCTTGTTTTATTATAAGTTTTATAATAAAATCTATTATTTAAAACATAAACTATTATGCTATTGCAAGAAACAAAAAATCTCATTTTCAAGTTACGTAATTATATGCTAACATTTTACTTACGTACCTATTCCTTTCAAATTAATGTTAAATAGTCTTATATGATTCAAATAAGCAAAAAATACTCTAAACTAACCTTATTACACTAATTAGAACTTATTTTAACATAATAAATCTAATAAGAATGAGATTTCATATTTACAACAATTATTCATAATACGCTAAAATGACATTGTCCCTATATTAATACACACGTTACTCGAAGATAGGTTTTCCGTCGCCGACATTCTCCCCCTCGTGCTTTGCACCAACTCCTGGACTCGGCGACGCTCCCGGCACCAACAGCACCACTCTCGAACTGGGCCTCCGTAGAACACCTCCTCTGGTCTCGACGTCGACGACTCTGGTCCGCCCGTCTGGTCCAGGATACACATGCAGGATTCTTCCGCGTGGCCAGATGCATCTTGGTAGGCTGTGATCGACGATCAGTACGATGTCTCCGACTTGCAAATCTGTGGCGCTGACTCTTCCTTTGGTCTTCCTTGGTAGTAGAGTGGGCAAATACTCTCTCAGCCAACGTTGCCAGAAGTGATCGGCAAGTCGCTGCGTAGCCTTCCAGGTGTGTCTGCCCACAAGCTCGTTGTCCTCGAAGCTGCCGATTCTTGCTGCGCCACATGATCGCCCGATGAGAAAGTGGTTCGGTGTAAGTGCTTCTTCTTCAGGGTTCTCGGAGAGGTGGGTGAGGGGCCGAGAGTTGACTATGTGCTCGGCCTCTAACAGGAGGGTATGAAGTACCTCCTCTCGTGGTTGCCTTTCGTTGAGCGTGGCGTCCAGTGCGGTTTTAATGGATCGCACCAGACGCTCCCATGCACCTCCCATGTTTGGTGCACCAGGAGGTATGAACTTCCACTGCACACCGATCTTCTCCGCTTCCGAGATAAGGTCTTCTTGCTTCATGGTGTCTAGTGCTTCTTTGAGTTCTTTGTTGGCGCCAACGAAGTTAGTGCCATTGTCGGTGTAGATTATCTTTGGCATTCCCCTTCTCGCGGCGAATCGTCGTAGTGCCATGATCATGCTGTCAGTGGAGAGTGAAGGAGTGAGCTCATTGTGTACAGCTCGTGTTGTTAAGCATGTGAATAGAGCACCCCATCTCTTCTCATGGCGTCTTGCTACGGTGATCGTCATAGGGCCGAAGTAATCTATTCCCGTGCACGTAAATGGAGGGTTTCCGTGCATCAGCCTCTCAGCAGGTAAGTTGCCCACTGGTAGTTCTTGAGGTCTTGCCTTTCTTGTTTTGCACCACTGGCATTGATGTTGAATGGTCTTGATCGCTGACCTCAGTCCTAGCACCCAGAAGCGTTGTCTTACTTCGTTCATTACGGTCGCGTGATTCTCGTGATTGAAGCGGCAGTGAAATTCTTCTATGATGAGAAGTGTTGTCTTGTCCTTGCTGTCGAGTACGATGGGTCGTTTGTAGTCTCTGGTAACCCCTCGTATCGCGTCGATTCTTCCTTTCAGTCGCAGGAGACCTTCTTCTAGCACTACGTCGAGCCTTTTCAACTTGCTGCTGCCCTCTAATTGTTTTCCTTGCTGTAGGCACCTGATGTCCTCTTTGAAGCATTTCTCTTGACTTCTTCTTAACAACAGCGTTTCAGCTTGCTCTAGTAGACTTGTTTCCAATGGTATGTATTTCCTTTCTGACGTTTTTGAAGACAGATGTCGCTTCTCAACAATTTTCTTATTCCTTTTTGTAGTTTTCCAGGTAGGATCTTCTTTGCTGGCGTGGACCTTTTCCTTTCTTCTGCAGAGTTGTATGAACTGCAGTACTCTTGCTGTAGCTCGCCAAAGTCTTTTCCACGACGAGAACTTTTCGGGATCTGGTGATGGATAGGAGCTGCCTGCAGTCGCTACGATGTCCGCTGCCTTTTCTTCGCCAGTGGTTTCTTTCTTGAATGTTCTTGCCGCAGGCCAGTGAACTTCATCTCTTCTTAGAAACCCTGGTCCGGTGTACCATCGGTGTTGGCAGTCGAAGTGTTCTGGTACGTCACGTGTTGCATCATCTGCAGGGTTCTGCGCCGTCGGTACCCATCTCCAGTCCTGTGGTTTTGTGAGATCTTCTATCTCCGCCAAGCGATGAGCCACGAATGTCTTGAAGGTTCTCGGGTCCGTCTTGATCCATGATAGCACGATACTGGAGTCTGTCCAAAACGTCTTCTTTTCTATTTTCAGATCCATTTCTTCCTCGACCGAGTGTGCCAATCTGCTTCCTAGGAGGGCCGCTTGCAGCTCGAGTCTCGGGATTGACACCGGCTTCAACGGAGCGACTCTTACTTTTGCTGCTACTAAGCTGACGTCATAAGTCCCATTTTGATTTTCAGTTCTCCAATATACCGTAGCTGCATACGCCATTTCGCTTGCATCCGTGAACGTGTGCAGCTCCCCCTCGGTGCGACGTGGTGCCAGACATCTCGGGATCTGAAGGTCTTGGAGCAGCTTCATCTTCTCCAGGTAAGTCTTCCATGACTCGTACTCCTTTTCTTCTATCTCTTCATCCCAACCGACGCCACTTCGCCATATGTTCTGGAGCAGCCTTTTGCCTTGGATGAGAATTGGTGATGCTAGCCCTAGTGGATCGAAGGTCGACATCACGGCGCTGGTGACTTCTCTCTTCGTAGGTACCTTGAGTCCTTGTGCCACTTCATCTGGCGTGTTCCGAAGGTTCGCCCTAAAGCCTATGGAGTCCCTTTCTGTAAACCAGCGTAGTCCCAGTGTCTTCTCTTCCTTCTCACCAAGGTCCACCTCTGTCTTCTCAACTGACTCAGTCTTCACGTCTTGCAGCAGGTCGGAGTGGTTTGACGCCCATCCTCGGAGTTCGAAGCCCGCCTTTTTGTGAATGAAGTCCACCTGCGCTGTAATTCTCTTGAAGTCCTCTTCTGAATGGAAGCTGTGCAGGTAGTCATCCATGTAATGGTTCAGCTCGATTGCCTTTGCTGCCTCTGGGTACTGCTTCTTGTAGTCCGCCGCGTTCCGGTTCTTCACGTAGATCGCTGTGCTAGGAGATGATGTCGCGCCGAAGATGACTGATGTCATTCTGTACTCCTTCGGTGCTACGTCACGACGATCCCCTCGCCACAGGAACTTCAAGCTGTTTCTATCTTCTGGCCGGATGCGAACTTGCAGGAACATTTCCTTTATGTCGGCTGCCACTGCAAACGGGCCTTGCCGGAACCTCAGTAATACCCCGAAGAGCGATTGCAGTAGGTCTGGTCCCGGTAGTAAAGCGTCGTTGAGGCTTCTCCCTTTAGACTTGGCTGCAGCGTCGAAGACGATCCTTATTTTCTTCTTCAATGGATGTACCACGGAGAAATGAGGGAGGTACCATGTCTTACCTTACCTTTACCTTATTGTCTACCAATCTTCTTGTCCACCAGGTGCTTCTTCTGCATACTTGCTGTCGATTAGATGCTGGATCTGCTTATTGTATTCTGCCTTCAGCTGAGGGTCTTTGTCTATCTTCTTTTCAATGTTGAACAATCGGTTCTTGGCAGACATGTAGCTTTCAGGCATCTGTTCATCTTCATTTTTCCATAGAAGTCCAGCTTCAAATCGACCATCTTCTAGTCTTCTGCAGGTCTTCTCTAGGATGGTGAGTGCTCTTCCTTCTGAATCCGTAGTGGGTCTTCTTGGTAGTACTCCAAGTGCTTCGATTGCGAAGTGATCCTTGATGGCTTGATGCATCTCTTCTTCTGGCGTGCTGACATGTAGACACGTGTTTAAGAAGTGCACCACTTTCGCGCCTCCAGTGTCTGACCCGTGGAGCACCCATCCAAGTCCTGTTCTTGAAGCGACTGGTTGTCCTGGTTTCCCTCTTCTTACTTCTTGAGTCACGATTAGCTCCCAGTTGTCTTGACCGATGAGCAGCTGTGGTGACTCCCCCTTATAATATAGAGAGTCAGCAATCTTCTTCAAGTGTTAACACTCTTCTATCCTTTTCTTTTCTAGGAACTGCGGTGCAAGCTTCAACTCGTCGATGGTCCGGACTCTTCTCAAGGTCTTCTTGGTCTTCTGATGAATCCCCTTCACCGTAAGGTCCAGCATCTGAGAGTCTTCCTTCCTTATCAGCCTGCCTCCAACAGTCTCGATGACCAGTTCCTCCTTTCTTCCTTGAGCGCCGATTTCTTCTGCTACCTTCTGGTCTAGCAGCGACACTGTTGACCCTTCATCCATGAGGGCCAATATCTTCTTTGATCCTTTTGACCCGAAGATTTCTATCGGAATTATCTTCAGGTATGCCCTTGCGTTGTTGACCGCATTCACCGATGCCATGATGCTCGCCACTTCTTGTGGTTTGTTCTTCTGTTCTTCAGAGGAACTTTTCTCTGTCTCGACGTGCAGCAGATGATGATGCCACCTCTTGCATTCCTTGCACGACGGCTTCTTGCAGCTCTCCTTCCGATGTGTCCCTTGTAAACACTTGAAGCAAACGCGGCTTTTCTTCACTATTGCCCATCGATCTTGCACAGACGCCTTCAGGAACTTCTGACACCCGACGAGGAAGTGTTCACCCTCACACATGGGGCAAGTCTTCTCTGATCTTGAAACCTTTTCTTTGAAGTCCTTTTCCTTAGTTGAATGCGTTGCTTGTCGATGAGTCCGTCTGAACCCGCTCTTCTCTTCTGTTGATGCATAGGCTCCACACTTGTCTGCTTCTCTGTTCAGGAACTTGGACACCAGTGTTAGGTCGGAGAACTCGCCTTCTGTTGTTTCAATGAAGTCGTACCATCGGAACTTGAGGATCGTAGGCATCTTCTCAATAATTTGTTTCACCATCTCAGGTGAATGCAGGTACTGTGGTTTCTTCAATCCTTTTATTGCCGCTACGCTGTTGCTGATCTGGCTCGCGAAGAGGCATATGTCCCTTGGGTTTTCAGAAATCTTCGGCAACGTTTTGACCTTGTCCAACTCTGCCAGCACCAGTGCATCTGGTCTTCCATATCTTCTTCTGAGGGCTTGAATCACTTCCATCGGAGAGGCTTCGGAGTACAGCAGACTCTTGATAGCTTCTCTTGCGTTGCCCTTCAGTGCTCTTCTTAGCCGAGCCATATTCTGGACGTTGTTGAACATCGGTGCTGTATCTTCATAGACAACCTTGAAGGCCATCCACTCGCTGCTGTTGCCGTCGAAGTAGGGTAACTCGTGAATGTAGGTTGGCTGTCCTGCTGGTCCTCGCGTGGTAAGAGCTTCCTTCAATGCTGCCGTCAGTGCTTGAATTTCAATCGTAGCTCCTCTCGTTGAGGAGTTCTCTTCAGGCTTCATCTTCTGTGGCTCTTCCAAGGGGTGTGGACCTCGCATCTCTGGTTGAACTTTGTTGCCATCCTCCAGCACAGACGTCTCGATCCAGTTCTGCACCTGTGCTGTTCTGTCTTCCAGGTCTTCATCCACGGAGTCCTCTTCTTCACACTGTGCCATCTCCAATCTGACACGGGCTAGCTTAGTTTCAGCCTGTGCTTGCTTCAACTCCAGGCGTGCCAACTCTTCCTTTGCTTCTAGCTCGCGTCTTCTGGCCGAGGAACTCGTGGTCTTCGTGGACCTGGCGCGACGACTGACCCCCATCGGTTTCAGGGTCTTGGAGGAGCCTTGAACATCCTTTCCAGGTACATCTTCTTGGCTCTTCCTGGTCATCCTCTGTGCAGCATCTTCTTTGTTGCCTTCCATAGACGCCGCCGTAGTTGCAGTCGTAACCGTAGTCTCCGTCACTGTGGTGCCCTCCGTGGTCGTGGTACCCGAAGAAGTGTTCGATGTAGTTGCAGTTCCCGATGACGCCGACGCTGACGTGACCCCTTCTGATCCCGACGTTCCATCTGTCGCGTCCCTATCTGAAGGACGGGACCCGGGACGTGAGGGGGCATCCTTCTGCGACCTGGTTACCGGCATCTTGAACGCAATCTTCTGTTTCTTCTGAACTTCTTCTAGCAGGGATCCGGCTCGAAGGACCAACTGTTTCGGACGACCAGAACCAGGGTATGTCTAGTACCCGGAGGTCGACCTGGGACAATCTCCCAGACGTTCTTGGCGTACACGGCAGTATGTCCGTTCGCTGGTAATGTACGCCACCACGCACCCCTGAATGCGTAGCTTGGGTCCCGATCCACTAGGGTTTCTTCGTCGACAGGAGACTATACTTAGAGGCAATGAAATAAAAACACAATTTTTTCCTTTTTTCTCTCTTGGTTTCGGTTCTTCCTTTTCCTTTTAGTTGTTGCCTCTTCGGTGGCTGTCTTGCGACTGACTCGAATCGAGAAATGGCTCGCCTTTTATTTGGCCCGTTAATACCTTACAGAGAGCCGCGTACTTTGAGCTCATTTTTCGAATAAAATTTCCCTAAACCGAAACCTTGAGAGTCCTTTTATTTTATGTTTTCAGTAAAACACCTTACACATATTTATTTATTTACATGCCTTACATACTATTATACAATATTAAAACATAATATTCAATATATAATAATTAATTAAAAAAGTCTTAAAACAAAAATATCTAAATTTCTAGGTTGCTACATTTTTACTATACATTTTCCCTTATAACTTTTGAACGGATAGTCCTATCGACCTAATTCTTGTTTTATTATAAGTTTTATAATAAAATCTATTATTTAAAACATAAACTATTATGCTATTGCAAGAAACAAAAAATCTCATTTTCAAGTTACGTAATTATATGCTAACATTTTACTTACGTACCTATTCCTTTCAAATTAATGTTAAATAGTCTTATATGATTCAAATAAGCAAAAAATACTCTAAACTAACCTTATTACACTAATTAGAACTTATTTTAACATAATAAATCTAATAAGAATGAGATTTCATATTTACAACAATTATTCATAATACGCTAAAATGACATTGTCCCTATATTAATACACACGTTACTCGAAGATAGGTTTTCCGTCGCCGACACTAATATTATAAAAAAAACATTTTTATAGCTTTTTTTATAAATTTACCTCAACAAATTATTTACCTTAAAATTAAAATAAAAAAATGATTAATATTTGTAACAATAACGACATTTTCAGCTCTGCTATTTCGAACAAGATATAAGCCATGCTCCAGCTGACCAAGATTTGACCACCCATCCAGCATCGTACCACGGTCACACCACCTTAACCTACCATTCTTCTCATGACTATCAAAGCTGTAAAAACAATGATAATATTAGCAAAATAACCATGGAGTATAGAGGAATACCAAAAAATGTGTATGGAAACGTGGAGAGATACGTCGAATTTGAAATTAAAGGAGAGAAGGTACCATAAATTTTTATATGTTGGGACATTAACACAGCACTATTTAGTTCCATGGTAAGCTACGAGGCTTGTGTTATGGACACCAGATAGTTGATACACTACACATATATAACTTTAAATACATACATATTATAAATATAAACACCCATGACTGGAGTACAAACATTCGTGCTCATCACACAATGAATGCCCCCAGCGGACTCGAACCCACGACCGCTGGCACAGCAAGTAGGGTCACTACACACGGAGCCAAATTATTAAAGTTGAATTACCTTTAATTTTTTTTTTTATATTTTTGTTTTATTTTTAGCTTCATCAATTCGACCTATTACCAGCGTTGGGAATTGGCGCCGGAACCCCTGTGGCCCAACTGTTGGGAAGTCTCGATAAAGATACTATAAATACAACAGCTGTTATACAGGTAAGGTGTGGCGACGCTCATCGTCAAAATATTAATCTATACATATAATAAAATTGTAACTAAGTCGAATCTCTACATTAAATATTTTTTGGAAAATCTTATTGAAATAAACATTATTATCGATACAGATACCGAATCTATAGTTTTTAGAATTTTTGTCTGTCTGTCTGTTTATTACCGCATCACAGAAAAAGCACTGGAGGGACTTTGATAAACATTTGGTATGGTCATAGCTGGTTATCCGGGTCAACATATAGGATACGTTTTACTGCGGGAAAATATCTCGTTTCTGTGAAAAAATACAAAAACTGCAATGTAAGAGTATACTAATATGTAAAACCTAAGAATTTGGTTTTTGGTCAGTTCAACGCGAGCGGAGCCGCGAGCAATGCTAGTTATATGTAAATTACAATATTTCGACCTAAAATGAGGTTCTTACAATTAATTTTGTTATTTTATCATAAAACAAACATTGGTTAGACCTAAGCAAATACATTAAGTAGGTATATGAAGATTTCGACCGTTATCATATGTTATTGTCTAATGGCTTGGTATTCAAATAAATAATATTCCGAAAATAAAATCTGATTTTTATTCCTACGCTTATTTATTAACCGACTTTTGGAAAGGAGGAGGTTCTCATTCGTCGGAATCTTTGGTTTTTTTTGTTATGTATGTCCATCGTTCATTTAGATTTTTTTTTGTTTCGAAGGGTATACTTCCCAGGTTCCATTTAAATTTTATCGAAATCAGTCGAGCGGTTTTTATAAATTCTAAATTTTTTTTTAATAAATTGTTTAAACAATTTAATTAATCGAATATATATGTTATGAAAAAACTTTCTTCTTACAAATTACCTGCTTATTACGTCTACACTAAAAATGGAAAAATAAAAACTAAAAAAAAATCGAATTCCCGGCATGTAAAAAAACTAAACGGGGGTTTTCATTTAGAAGGTTCAGTGTAAAGAGTATCAGCTCTTTTCCAAAATGATGTAAGGCATTTTGGCGTATGATTACTCGATTAAGTGCTTCACGCGTGCCAGTGTAATCGTTAAATGACAATTAATTTGCGTAGGGGGTTTTTAATTTTTTTATTTATAATATGTGTCTGCTATTTTAAAATATTATTGTTTGACTTCATGTTTGGTTCTAAACTCCATATATATTATTTACCTTGATGATGATGACGATGTTCTCCTGACCGATTCCGGCCACGGCGGCCATTCTCATTGAGACTAGCCAACTGCGCAGGAGATATTATAGTGCACAAGTGTACTCGCAGACACAAGTGCACACTCTATTCCTGTCACTCTCATACTCCGGTGGGACGACTGCTCGACACGACCAGTGAGAGTGTCGGCGCAGGACCGACGGCTTTACGTGCTCTCCGAGGCACGGGGGTGAAACACCGCCAACTTCCCAACTCTGGGCTGTTACTGAGGCATACTATACAGAAAGACTGAATAAATAAACTTGGCCCGACCCGGGACTCGACTCTAGGACCTCCGGGTGTGTAGCCGTACATGCTAGCCACTACAACACCGAGGCAGTTAAATTATTTACCTTAGTAACTTAAAACGTTTTGTCATCAGGAAAAAGATGGAATAGCATCTATTAGTGTGAACAAAGGAGCAGAAATACAGTTCGAATCTGATAGCTTCGCCTGGCTGTTGGACAGCTGGACGGCAATGCAACTCATGAAACGATTTGGAGTATACCGTAAGTTCATTTTACTTTATTACCAAATAAGTAAACGAGAATTTTGTAATTTTGTTCAGATAATTTTGTACAAGGCAGTGGAAGTCCACTGGTAAGGCGCTCGCTTGGAAAAGCAAGTGAAGTGGGTTCAAATCCCGTGTCTCGCACTTCTGATTTGTGAATTACTTCCAATATGATTACAATTGGTCTTACGGTGAAGGAAATATCGTGAGGAAACCGCATGTCTGAGAGAACCTAGCAAGTTTTTGAAAGACATGCTCAGTCCGCCCGCACTTGGCCAACGTGGTGGACTATGGAATGATCCCCCTCGTATTGAAGAGAGATCCACCCCCAGCAGTGTAGCAATAATAACATTATTAATTAGTGTCTACAGCTTTCTATACCATTAATTCTATTTATGTATTAAATTATACACGAATTCTTTTAGATATCTGTGATATAAAACTATATTATTATTAAAAAAATTAAAGTTACACGACAACTAACTTTAAAACCACCTTTTCTTTACCACGAAATCTATGATATTTATTGGATGTAAATATTTCTTGAAAATATAAATGGGATTTTTCTTCAAATATAACTTATTAATTTCAAATAAAACTGTCTTTTCGGACTGTCATTAAAAAATCTTAATTTGGTTGTGAGTTTTTTGTATGTCTGGCTGTCGTTTGTTTTCTAATTGAAAAATTCTAAGATGGTCCCATATAGAGACAAATGCCCTCCAGTATTTAAAGATTGTTAAAAACGAAAAATATTGTACTCGTATGAATGCCATAATATTTCACCATTCCAACCTACCTTTCTGTCTACAGAATGAGGATCTTTAGATCCTATTAAATTTCGTTTATATTTAACACTAGGGATTTACCCTCGCTTGGGATGTGTCCCTGGCAGTTCAGAAACGTAAATTTGAATTTTGTCTAATCTTTAAGCGTTTCTAAAAAACCCCTAAATTTTTCTGTCGTTGGTCGTAAAACTTTTGCCAAATCCTATCAGAAGTACAGAAGATGTGATGCGCCGACCCCAAGTGATTGGGGAATGGGCAGGGAGAAGAAGAAAAAAACATGTATATATAGCCCTACAAACTTTCTTTCAGTGAAAATCTCATCACAATCTGTTAAGCCATTCCAAAGATTACCAGGGACAAACAGAAATACAGACAGATTTTGTAAAAAGGATTGTTTAGGTACTGATATCAAATAAATAACTCTATGTACTTGAGAAAACATAGTTATTTTGAAATTACAGACAGACACTTCAATTTTATTTATACCTATGTAAAAATTAAAAAAAATCGAAGTATACTTTAAAATTATTTAGAATCATAAGAAAATGGTTTTCATTTAAAGGTTTAGTTGTTGGTGTTTTATTAAAATTAAACTTTTCATAGGTGAATGTCGTCTCCAAGAATCTACTGTTCAAACTCTATCAGGAAATGTGGAGCCGTTGAGTCCTGTACAATGCCCTGAGAGTCTGGTGCTTGCGGATTGTTCTGAAACACCCAGGTCAGAAGAATATATAATAATATATAATAAAATATAATATAATAAAGGCAGTGGTAGCCCAGTGGTAACGCGCTCGCTTGAGAAACCGAGTGATGCGGGTTCAAATCCCGGGTCTCGCACCTCTGATATTTTCATGCGCGAATCATTTCATCATCATTAGCTATTTTTCCACCCTTAGGGGTGGTATTTTTTTTTTGAAATTTAAATGGGATCAATCTGGAAGTATACCCTTTCAAACAAAACAAAAATTGTCAAAAATAGGTTAATAAATGACGAAGTTCTGAGGTAACAAACATAAAAAAAAATACAGTTGAATTGAGAACCTCCTCCTTTTTGAAGTCGGTTGAAAATATTTTTTTTAACTATATTGGTCAGAAAGTATTTTTGCTATAGATTTTGGGATCCCTGGTTTGAGTCGTAGCTAAGTATAATTTTTAGATTTATTTGTCACAAAATTCTCAATAGAAGCCCAGTGTTGGGAAATTGATGGTGTTACAATTTAATAGCTCACGGAAATTATGTAAAGCCTACAATTCTACGCTCGATATTTTTATTAGCTATATAAAATTATTATCACGCCACATCACTACATAGTATAAAACAAAGTCGCTTTCCGCTGTCTGTTTATCCCTATGTATGCTTAGATCCTTAAGGCTACGCAACGGATTTTGATGCGGTTTTTTTAATAGATAGAATGATTCAAGAGGAAGGTTTTAGTATATAATTTGTTAAAACTACGCAACGGATTTTGATGCGGTTTTTTTTAATAGATATAATGATTCAAGAGGAAAATTTTAGTATATAAATAGTTAAGTTTTTGTATACATTGGCTAAAATATAATGATATTTGTTGGAGGTGTCGGAAAAAATAAGACGTCTGGGAGCTTTCAACGTAAACGCTGTCTAAACCCTTTGAGATAGAACAATATAATGTATGGTTGAATTGTGTATCTTATATAGGTCTACAGAAAAGTCCGCGATGGCATATGTCTATCTCTTAAGGATAACATACTTTATCCATTTTAATTTAAAATGTACCTAGAGACAAACACGAGCGAAGCGAGGGTGAATCGCTAGTTGAAAGAAAAAAGAATAGAGAGTGCAGTTTTAATATAAAATTATTATGATATATGACTTTGAACCTGTGAATATTTATTGTACCAGACTTAAAATAATATTAAAGTAGCTTTTTAATAAACGCCATTTTGTTACAGCTTCGTAATAACACGTCAACAAGATGGCGGCATCAAAATGTATGATGGCGATCACAACTTGTACAATACTACTAGCGACATTATGAAAAATTCACCGTAAGTAGTATTCATACTTTAGAAAAAATATAATAAATATAAATAATTATTCCATCTTATTCCATCTTATATATACATATATATATATATATATATATATATATATATATATATATATATATATATATATATACACACACTATTTGGGTATAAAATAAAATAAATATTTTTAAAAAATCGGACAAGTACGAGTCTCACTCGTATATGAGTTTTCTGTATGAAACATCAAAATTTATGTTTTGATTTAACATAATATTTCTTTACGTTAAAACTGAAATAAAACATACCCATACTTATGGATTTTATTAACGGAATACAATCTATACATATATAATAAAATTGTAACTAAGCCGAATCTGTACATTAAATATTTTTTGGAAAATCTTATTGAAATAAACATTATTATCGATACAGAGGCCGAATCTATAATTTTTAGAATTTTTGTCTGTCTGTCTGTTACCGCATCACAGAAAAGCAACTGGAGGAATTTTAATGAAATTTGGTATGGTGATAGCTGGTTATTCGAGTTAACATAATATAGGATACTTTTTACCGCGGGAAAATTTCTCATTTCTCAGAAAAAATACAAAAACTGCAATGTAAGAGTATACTAATATATAAAACCTAAGAATTTAGTTTTTGGTCATCTGAACGCGGGCGAAGCTGCGGGCAATGCTAGTACACTATAAAGTAGAAGATTAATAAGTAATTTTAACATTTAAACTTGAAGGAAATTGATTCTGCCGAACCACTGACAGTGACGGATCGACTTACCATACTTTAAATATATATTTGAACTGAAAAAATCAAATTTGTTACTGAGAATTGAGTTTTATTGGACATAGATTATTTTGAAATGAAACTTTCTAACCCATAAATTAAATACTTATTGGTAAAACTGACTTAAAGTTATCGTTTGGATTTGTTCTTAGGGCCTTTTTTTTGCTATCATCTATGAATGAATAAAAAGCATTTGTTAAAAAATTATCACCTTACTAAATATTATAAATTGGAAGTTTAGATGTTTGTTACTCAATCACGCATGAACGTCTGAACGGATTTAGATGAAATTTGGCACAGAGATAGATTATAGTCTGGAATAGCACATAGATTACTTTCTATCTCGAAAAAATGTACGGTTTCCGTTAGATAGATTCGTTTATGTCTAGAGGCGAACCCGAGCGAAGAAGGGGTGAGCTGCTAGTATAATATAAATCTTATTATACATACAAAAATACACCTATATAAGCGAATCCTTTCTTGCTGAAATGGGTCAAAAAAGTCGGAAGATACTAATAGATAAAATTACATCCAAATCGGTCCAGTTGTTTCAAACACACACACACACCCACACACACACACGCACACACACACACGCACACTTACATATATTTATTTATAATTACGACACGTCTGGCTCAGTTTGTAGTGACCCTACTTGCTGTGCCAGCGGTCGCGGGTTCGAGTCCCGCTGGGGGCATTCATTTGTGTGATGAGCACGAATGTTTGTACTCCAGTCATGGGTGTTTATATTTATAATATGTATGTACTTAAAGTTATATATGTGTAGTGTATCAACTATCTGGTATCCATAACACAAGCCTCGTAGCTTACCATGGAACTAGATGGTGCTGTGTGTTAATGTACCAACATATTTATTTATATATATTTAATAATACTTTCTATGATTTTTTTAACGGATTTTTTTTTCAGCATATTGCCGATAGCAGCGGGCTTGAAAGTCCAGTCAGATGCTACGGGAGTTATAATATATAAGAGGTTTAACGAAACTGTCATACTTATACCGTCTTCGTACATGTCGTCTGTGTGTGGTGAATGCGCTGGAGATGTTATTTATAATAGCTGTTAATTTTTTTATATGTTAAAATACAGAGAAATAGAACTTCTTCAAGAAAGAACTAGAATTCTTCTCCACCTGCTTTCTACAAACAAGAGAAGAAGATTGAACGTCAAAATACGTTAGTGATGCGTTTTAACTTCTTTTTCTTGAAAAAAAAAACAATGGAGATAGATTATTAAAAACATACGCTTTATACGTTATTAAGATAAAAGCAGATAGATTATAATACTTTTTTAAGATTTACGCGAATATTTTACATTTTAAATATTTTTGGATATTTTTTGCGGATTTATTTTGATTTTTCGGTTCTCGATGTTTAGAACGTTTAACAGCAACTATGGTCACAGGTAGAGTCTAAGGTTAAAGTAAGGTCATTTAAAATAACAAAATTTTACCCAAAATTGAAAAAAAAACATTATTATAAACGCTACTTTCCTTTAAAATGTCAGAAGCAGCCAATATTTATAAGCGCTAATGTTGGAAAGTTTATTAGTTGTTATCTATCTTTAATTATCTCTTTGTATTTCTGTATTCAAAACCATTTAACCTAGACCTTTTATATTAAACTAGTTTTAGCTCTCGGTGCCATTCACATTTTATTATTTACTAGCGACTCACCCTCGCTTTGCTCGGGTTCGTCCCTAAGTTGTTTCCCCATTCAAACTTTTATCCCCATTTTCACCCCCCCTTTTTAAGGCGTGATTTCTAGGATACAAACTATAAAACTATCTTATGTCCTTACCAGAGTCTCAAACTATCTTTTTACCAAATTTCATTTAAATTGGTTCTGTAGTTTCGGAGTTTATTCAGTACAAACAAACAAACAAAAAAATAAATCTTTCCTCTTTATAATATTTAGTATACATGTAAAATAAGCAAAGACAAAAGAGTTCAGTACCTTTTCTTTCTTGTTTGTTAATCGATTACCTATTTTTTTTGTATAGTAGCTTTAGTGTTATCAACAAATAACATAAAAATAAAAACCGACTTCAAACAAAAGCACTAAAAAGTAAAAAATAACTAATGGGTAGTTTTCATTTACTATACATACCTAATCAAATATTTTCGAAATCGGTGCCAGCCCATACAAAGCAAAGCACACCGACTTCGAAAATATTCGATTAGGTATGTAATGGAAATAGAAACACTTGCAAAGTTTCAAGTCAATATGACAATTAGAAGTAGGTTAAATCCATTATTAGCTATTTTTCCACCCTTAGGGGTGGTTTCTTTTTTGAAATTTAAATGGGACCAATCTGGAAGTATACACTTTCAAACAACAAAAAATTGTCCAAATCGGTTAATAAATGACGGATTTCTGAGGTAACAAACATAAAAAAAATACAGGCGAATTGAGAACCTCCTCCTTTTTGAGGAAGTCGGTTGAAAATAAGGTCGAATTGTAACCACTGGGTAAACACTAATATATTTTTTTTCATAAGCTTTAAGCTATATTAAGTACACTTAAGCAAAACCAAAAACACACGAGCTCTTCTTATTACAAATCTATACATATAATAAAATTGTAACTAATCCGAATCTGTACATTAAATATGTTTTGGAAAATCTTATTGAAATAGCCATTATTAGCGATACAGAGACCGAATCTATAGTTTTTAGAATTTTTGTCGGTCCGTCTGTCTGGGGACGTATCAGGAGAAAACCACTGGACTGATTTTGATGAAATTTGGTTAAATGGTCAAAGTAAATTCAATATAGAATACTTTTTACTGTGGGAAAATCTCATCTTTGAGAAATCTATACTAAACGTTAAAAGGTTACTAGGGACGAAGTCGCTAGTTTTCATATAAAACGGGTTTCCATACTAAATGGTTTTAATCGAAGCCGTAAACGAAATCTAGTTTAATAAGTTTTTTAAGAAGTGCTTTATATATATAAGAAAAATCCTATTTTAGTTTATAATTTTTATATTATTTTATTGTATACTTTATATAGCTTAAGTTACGAAGTAGGTAATTGTTAAATAATCTGTGGTCAATTATGACTTTTGAACTCAGTTTTATATTTTGTCCGTCAGTTTACGAATATATTTATATATATTTAAAATATACACTTGAAATACTATAAATCTTTTATTTTATTTTACTGGAAAACGCTGCTTTATTCGTCTGTTTATGTTGATATGTTACGTGATGTCTTCTAAAGGAAGAAGTTTCCTAGGTAAAGTAAAATAGGTTTTAAACCGCATTAAACTACAGCATAAGTTCTTTATAACAATATTTGATTAACTCCTTTGAAAAGATCCCTTAACAGAGCATTTACACATAGAGCTTATGCCGTCTTGACAGTAAGAGAAAGAGAGAAAGACAGAGGGAGAAAAAGACAGAGGGAGAGAAGAGAAGAGGAGAGGAGCGGAAAGGAGAGGAGGGCTTGATCAATTCTTACGAAATTTTGTGTGTATATTCAGTAGGTCTGAGAATACAACGTAAACTATTTTCGTAACCCTAAGTGATAAGAGTGGTCCACCTAAAAAAATATTTATATTTTTTGGTCAATTTTTTTTATTTTATTTATTTTATGATTCGGCATTAAAAATACATACAAACCTAATTTTTCACAAGGGAAAAACCCGAGCGGAGCGAGAGTGAGTTGCTAATAATATATATAATGAAATTCTAACTGAGACGAATCTGTACATTAAATATTTTTTGGAAAATCCTATTGAAAAAGTCATTATTATCGATACAAAGGCCGAATCTATAGTTTTTAGAATTTTAGTCTGTCTATGTGTCTGGGAACAAAAAAGCACCCGAAATAAATACTTTATTTTTTTAAATCAGACAAATATGGATACAGAATAAGTAGATAAAGTCACTCCAAAAACTGATACAAGATAGTAATAGTAGGTCAAAACAAAATACAAAAATTCCTCTAACATTATAAAAATACTTAACCCTTTTAAATAAAACGTAACAAAAAATAATCAGGGCAGAAGTTCAACCTTATTAGATTATTTATATTTTTAAAATAATAAGCTTCGGTGATCAAAAGACGTGTTGTCCGCTCGACGTTCGACGCTCGAGTGACCGTTTTGACGCATTTTAAACTCGTTGGTCATATACCATAAGCTAATAGGTGTTCAATGGGTATAGACTACTTTGATCAGTCTTTCGCTTGGCTACCTTAATCTTACAAAGGATTTTAATAGCTGAATAGTTTTTTGTTTAAAAATATTAATATGGGTTAGTGGCTTTTTATAAATAAAGAGGTTAGCTTATGGGTATATCATGTCATATTTGTAGCGTATGATAAAATTATCCAAGATCTAGTTTTACAACATAAACTACAACATAACATCGGAATACAAATATGTGTGTATAAATTTCACTATTTTTAACCCACTTCCAAAAAGAAGGAGGTTATCAATTCGTCGGAATATTTTTTTTTCTTTTTTCTTTATGTATGTTTAAGCCCATATTTCGAGCATCTAAATTTAGGGGGCCTTATAATATGTAGGTGACCCCTAACTGTCGGTGAAACAGAAACTGTCCCCTAACAGCCCCCTAGCCACGCTTAGGGGATCCCGTAAACTTAGGTGACGTTGGTGAAATCGGGCATCAGTCTATATGACATCTTAGTCAGAGACAAAAATATACACCTGAATTGAGTACCTCCTCAGTTTTGAAGTGGAACAAAAACATGATAGAAACACCACGTCTCGCTTGTTTCAACCCCATTGATTGAGTTCAAAGTGGAGGATTAAGACGTAATCTTATTTATTTCAATCAAACATATCCTTTGAAATACTTTAAGCAGAAATATATATAGGGTTCTCTCGTAGGTTGTGACGTACCGTAGTTTCTGATTCTGAGTTCGATTCCCGGATCTCGTCAAGTTTAGTTATTGGATTTTTCCGTCAAAAACTTTCAGTAGAAGCTTGTTGGTAATTTAGTGTCAATAAATAGGATCCTCTTGTAGGCTATGACATATCGTAGATTCTAGTCCTGAGTTCGAGTCCCGGATGTTGTCAATTAGTTAGTTATTGGGCTTCTAAGTTAAAAAATCTCAGTAGAAGCTTGTAGTTGGGAATTTGGTGCTATTGTGTCGTAGCTTACTTTACTTTACACTTAAAGCTATCTGTGCTATGCCTGATTTTTGTCTCCTTTGGACTGGAGAGTGCAACCGACTGTATGTGACACTTGCTGAGATATCTCCTATTCAAAAGGCTAGAGGATTTAATCAGATTGGCCACCGTGATTGAAATTTCTCAGAATATTATTAAAGATTACAGGTAAGATATTACGTAAAATTAATTAATTTATATATATATATATATATATATATATATATATATATATATATATATATATATATCTAAAAAGTATATTTTTGTTTATATTTGGATGTTTATATTTGGAGCTACATTGCTCTTTAGTATGTAGGTGTCTTATGTAAGCTGCTTGAGAATTTGTGGTCAAAATAAAACAAAAAAAATAATAATAGGGGTGGCGTTTCATACATGTGAGAGAAGAATTATTTTACTCTTATATTTTTTGTATATTTTTTGGTAGATATAGTGACTATGATTACTGTAAAGAATTTGAAACATCGGAAAAAAACTCAAAATAAATCTGCGATAAAATTCGAAAATATAATTTTATTTAAAATGTCAAATGTTCCCGTAAATTTAAGAAAGTATGATGAAATTTCTCCAAATAAATATATGTAATCTGTGGAATAATATATTTTTTTTAGTTTTCTGTGCCACAGCCGAACACGTTGTTTCATTTTGCCCTTCTCTTTAAATACTTCTAAAATAACAAAGTACTAGCGGCTCACCCTCGATTCGCTCGGGTTCACCTCTAGAAAAACAAAAACAAATCTATCCCACGGGAACCGCATATTTTTCCGGGATAAAAAGTAACCTATGTATTATTCTAATATATGAGCTATATTATTGTGAAGTTTCATTAAAATCCATTCAGTAGTTTTTGCGTGAAAGAGTAACAAACATCCAGACATCTATACATCCAGACATCCATACA